AAATACCGATTTTGATTCAGGGACGAATCAAAATAAACTGCAGTACATATGTAATAATGTGAAATACTTCATTTTCACTGTAAACATTTTTCCGCTAAAATAAATTTCCAGTGAAAATGCCATTTCCTACATACCCCATTGAGACTTGACACAGCACAGTGAAAATTGGGATTCACACGTGATGCTTGAAAACGAAAATAATTAAGTGAAATTCTATGTGACTTCATGAGAGTTGGAAATGAACAAATTATATGACACCCAACCCTACCATTCCATACACAGTGTAAACTACACCCCCAAAACATCCATTCACCGATGTATTCTATTTGACTTCTCAGGAGAAATTGAAATAAACAAATTATATGACAACGAACTTAATTATAATTTCAGCTTCTAGTTCAGCACTGGTTAAATAAACTATGTCGTCTCTATGCCAACTTGAAGTTATTCATTGCTTACACCATTGACTTCAAAGTCTACGTTTCAATCCGAGGATTAATTGCATTGGAGTGCCAGTCTTTTATTTTTCTATTGTAATGTCAATTTCTTGCGATTACTCGGAACATGAAGCTGTAACCACAGACTGTCTATGTTCTGTAGCTAAATCCTGGTATAAGTACCGGTTAGGCAGGCTTGAACTATGTATTTGAAGCCAGCTGAGAGGTAAATCCAATCCAATAGATTTCTCATTGTTTGGTAACTATTTGCTGCAAATGCAACAAAAATCAATATAAAAATATTACCCACACAGCCTTCTACAGGTTACTTGTATCTTCATGATGTGGGAAAGACAACGTCAGTGCTATGGTTGGCGAAGAGCGCCACCTATGGTGAAACTTGCATAAAAATTACTAACCGGCACAGCGCGTAGGATTTCTTGAAAACTGTCAGAAGACAATTCTTACATTTTTATGCCGACTCTGCTCCGGTTGTGTCTCTCTAAATTTCTAGAATCACCTATTTTGATTAATTTAAAACGCTAATTACGGGACATGATATTGAAAAAAAACCATAAGAATGAATCAAACCAATACAAACTCATCTAATGATACTTTGAATAACGCGATACCGCTTAGAAAAATGACAACTAACAAAATATAAAATCAGATGTTGTATAGTAAATGTTGCCAGTGGTATACGAAGCTTCGTGCGTCTTTTAGTTCGAACGCATATCTTGCCTCCAACAGGTTGTTGAACCCCGTAAATATACCCATTTTGTTCTTTCACCTCCCACTAACACTTCGCTGCGTAAACCTCCAAGACCCGTTGGATTCGTTGTTTACGTCCGCTTCGCTGCGATCTATTGAAAGTAAGCCTCCAGGACCCGTTGGTTCAATAAAATGGACACACTGATGCGGTCAGGGGCCAAATGAGCGACTCCAGACGTAGTGTCAAAAACACGCTTGTATGCATTCTATTCTGTTGCTATAGTGTCATCATGGCTTGGTTCATATTCTCTGTAACGGCATATCAACTACATACCATTACTGTGACTAATTTATATTTGCGACGAAATGGGTCTTTCAATGCAAATGATCAGTTAACTAGGCGTCATAGCCGTGTTTAAGTTGGGTTGAAAGAGAGGAAACGTGTTTTTTCCGGAAGTCAACTCAACCTGTAGCACAGCGGCACTTTATTTGAAACTAATTTGTTTACGGTTGTAAAACAACATTTCAAAATGTACCCCCCTGCAAAACCAACTTGACAGTGTCATGCCTAACAGATAAAGACTGATTATTTGCATATTGTGATTAGGAAAGACGCACATTCATGGAATGGGTAAAAGATGAGCGCGTATTGATATTTTGTTACTGATGTTGAGAACGCTCAAAAGAGTAAATGGTGCGTTACGCGATATTTGATCTTAATTATTCTCTATCCTTATTTTTATTATATTATATATTACATTACATAGTGGTACATGTATATGGAAAGAACAATTTAGAGAAAGAGAAAAAATAAATATTTGATCTGGTATAACAATTACATTTGCCCAAGATGAACCTTTTGAACCCTGCAGGTGTATACATATTTTTTTTTAAATAACGCGATTAGTCACGGATTGTTAATGTATAATAAATTGTGTAAAAATCATTTTGTTACATGGACGCATTTAGCCAGTCCGTAGAAGGCGTGACGAATAGGGGCACCATATATGAACCACGAATATTTGACATAACGTATCACGTGACGTCATTTACCCTTTTGAGCAATCACAATCACGCTCGACACGCGTGGCGATATGTATTCTAGCAGGGGTTGTCCATTAAAATCTCGGAGGGGGCAACATTACAGCTAAATAATTCTGAACAAAATCTAACTCAAAACTAAAAAACAAAGTAATATGTATTTCAACCCTTTTATTGGTCCAACCAATATTATTTTTATAATGCAATGGTCGCGACCGTCTAGCCACGCATTAGAAACGAAGCCAACATTAAGATGCATTGACAAACACTGAAAAATGAACGTTCAGCCATTATTCCCCGCGAATAATAAAGCTTTAGAATTATCTCATAGTTTGCGTATTATAACACATTCATTCATTCATTCATTCCACGAAAAGTAGAACTAATTAATATCCAAGTGCATGTTGCAATGTTACAAATTTTGAGTAAGTAACTACGAATATCGGTACTGTATACGTTGCCGCAAAGCGGACGACTATGACGGGTTGTACTCCGTTGAGTCGCCGTGCACTCGAATTCTTCCACTGTGAATGCATTTGGCTACGTTTGTGTAAAGAGAAATGTGCGGACGGTGGAATTACTGGTGTGGTTTGCAGGTTAAACACTCGGTCGTTGTTCGAGACGCGTTCCTTACCCTCGACACAGATATAATGTTCCACTATGTCGTGATTGGTCAGTAATTTGTCGGCTGTTGGAAACGAACCAATGAAATCATGCTTTCGACAAAATGGCGGAGCGTATGATTGGGGTAATATCAGGTCATCGCTATCGCCGATAATCAACAGACTGGTCAAGTTTGTCGTGCCGATGGATCAACCCATACGATAGGTATTACTCGCCACCAGGGACCGGGAACCAACAACAACATCTGAGCTAGGCCGATCAACTCAGAGATGGATTTCCTGCGTTCGATTGTCCGTCCTGGCGAGACGTATGCCTTACTGAAATTTAGACTGGGACGATGTCAGTCTATAATTCCTAAACTAGACTATGTGAGTACTGTTCACAGGATATAATCGCCGTCGTTTGTATTCCGGGTGACCTTTTGTTGACATTGTAGTCTGTCTCTTGACATAGGCTTTCTTCGATCGTACTCAGTAGCTATACATCTATAGCAGTATTTCTTTACTCTGCCAAGTAGATATTAGGGCACGTACCTCTTCCCCAAGGCAAAAATTACGTGAAATTACAAACGATGTTGTCTCCGCCATATTGAAATGAGAGGTTACTTGAAGAAGACGATTGAGGGTGTGATTTTGGCCCGATAGTATCGGACTTCAACCCAAGTGTTTATTGGAGCCTAACTTTGCTCGAGCCGACTAAGGAAGTCTAGACCTCCCAGTATAAAGGAATTGTTAAAATTGTTTGATTGGCATATCAAAATCTTTTATTGGAACAGAACATGTTTCATATTCACCAAAAATCAACATTGCTATGTTTCTAGACTTACGACGAACTCAAAACAAAAGAAAAAGCTTGATCCTAACAACCTGTGTCCTTAAAAATCAAGTCTTATCACCCTTCCATTTTTGAGCGAAAAAAAACAGTGATGCCAAAAACGACATTGGTTAGATAGGTTATTTATTAGAGATGCCCGGGGAACCAAAAGTTTGCGATGTAAATCTCTTCGGCAACACAAATCTGCGATAATTGCCAAGGGGGTGAAAGACTGAATTTAAAAAAACATATTTTATATATAGGGTATATAATAATACATCTGTTAGCTTATGTAATACTGCCCTCAGTCGGTTAGATGTTCGCAATCCACCACCCGCATTGATACTGATATCAGCTGTCTTAATGATAATAAAAATATAATACCATGATTACATAATTAAATTTTTATGTTAACCTTTGAAATTTCAGAATTTGATGACACCGTCTGCCAAGCAATGCTATAACTATTTGAGCCAGACAAGCAGGAGTTTTGCGGCCGTTATCCAGGCCCTGGAGGGGGATTTAAGGTGAGAAATACACCATAGCCTACTATATTATATCCATTGTTAAAACATAAATTATTTAACAGTTTAAAAAATCAAAACATTTTGTTTATGGTACTAGACTACTCATTCTGTTTTCAAAGGCAACAGTGCTAATGTGTGTTCAATATTGAATACATACATTGCGCTCACTGGCTGTAAATAGTACATATGCTATTTATTACTGTGATGAAAATAAAATTCATGATGAATGTTGCTTTTTAAAAATACACTGTACCAAAGTTGGGTATATACTGTCAAGTCACGAGATGTGAACTGTTCAGCCAATCATGAACTTCTAAAAAACAAAAAAACAAACAAAAAAACTCTGAACTAGGATGAAAGTTTATGAGCTGACATCCATCTATATAGCACACAACCAAAATTGATTGAAATAGTTGAGATCAGGACACTGCAAACAGCATCATTTTTCCTGCCAAAATTTTAGTTCTACATTTTCCATATTTTTATGTTTTTTTTTTAAATGAATTCTTTGATAATTTTAGACCAGATAGGGGCTATTTCTTATTAGATGGTTGTAAGTCTTTGAAAAGGTGACAAAAGTTGGTATCTGGTATTAAAAGGCATGTAATAAAAAACAGTTGAGTTATACATTTAAATCTACTTGAACTTCTAGTATTTGTCAAAGTTCATTTTATGAGTTTATTACGAGAATACAACAAAGAATGCACTCAGTCAGTACAGGATCACATTGACAGGATTCTATTTCTCTCATGTGCTACACATTGTTACTTCATCTGATGTAAACGTACTTAGTTATTTCCCCGTACCTTGTTATTGCTGAAATACTTTGCATAGTATCTTAACATTAGTACAGGTACATGTGTTAAGGCAATCACAGTGCTCAGGAATTCTGTGTCATTTGTTTGCTAATTACGTATACAGGAGTGTCTTTTTAAAAAAAAAACTTTTAAAATGAATTAAATTGTGGTGTATTTTACTTGTGAAAGGTCAAAAATGAAAGCGTATGAAGATCGTAAGAAAATTGCAGTTGTCAACATTGGGTAGTTTTGTCACAAATAAATGAGGGCTTATTTTTGGCATAGCTATACAATGTGTGACCCATTAACTTCCACTTATGCATGATATAGCATATAGAATCAGATCAAGGTGCTGGCTTCTTTCTCTGTGAACAGGTCCATAAATACAATTTTGTACATTGTGACTGCAGTGACCCATTCAACGTTGATTAATATTAACCCCTGTCAAAACTATTTTTCCATTTCCATTTATGTTATTATATTCACAGACATGCTGTATGCATATTTTACTTAGTACTAAGGGCATTGGACACGGTGGAAGACGATATGACTATACCACTAGACAGGAAAATACCAATGCTCAAAGCATTTTATAAATATCTCAATGAACCAGAATGGAGGTTTATGGAAAGTCAAGAAAAGGATAAAATTGTATTGGAAGACTTCCCCACAGTGAGTATGATTTATCTATTTTGTCTTTGTGAGTTATTTGTTTTGTTACTAGTAGCTTAAGATAATTATATATCGGCAAATTCAGAGAATTAGCTAAGCTATAAACAAAGTCTCTCATAATAAGGGTTTAGTTCTAACTTAAAGAAAGGTCTACATTGTAGACGTATAGACTGGCCACTCTAATTCTAAAATTATGAAAACAAGTGTCAGAATTCTTAAAAATGCTATAAAAAATGTAATCTTCAATGGATTTAACTACATAAATTCAAGTTAACAGGAGTCAGTATATTTATTGTCTGTGTTCCCAGAATGTTATATGTAACTCAAATATCCCCAGTAAGTCAGACCATGAAACTGAAATAAAAGGATATACCAATTTACTAGCAATTCATATAATAACAGTTACTCGTGTTGTCTGCCACAAATAAATGCTGTAATTATTTGATTATTCTTCCTGCATCCAAACTGAACTTGACTTCAATCATTTCTAAATTCACTAATTTTATTACCTTGCCCGTACCATCAAAGATGGAAGGGAAAGGTATATTAAGGGAAAAATTTTGTCCGGCGTTGTCGTTGTTGTCGTCGTGGTTGTCGTTAATAATTGTTATTGTGTGCATAATAACTTTACTAATTCTATTCCAAACTTTATCAAACTTGGTCACCTTATTCATCAGTATAAAGTCTTCCCTGAGTTTGAACAACAGATGTCCTGTATGAAAATATCATGCAAAAATTGAGAAAATCTGATAAAATATTTTGACTGTTTCTACTTGACTGATCACTGGCGATACACATCAAAGGTCACTGATCTCAGTGAAAATATGCATTGTTGTATGTGTTCAATGAAGCAAATGATTTATCTTGTAATAATATCCTTGGTAATGTATCTCAGAATCCCATACTGGGTTTCAAAACCAACTCATGGAGAGATGGCACAGTCTGATACACATTTGCAAACCTACCAATAAAATCTTTACAGAAAACAAGATGTCAGAAAATCAATATAAGCACTCCTATGAACTGGGTGCCTAACTTTGATCAAGATCTGAAGCTAATAGAAAATCTGTTTAGTTCAAAGTTATCAAATCAAAAACAATACATAAAAAATACATTAAAAGCAAAACATTTCATCCACATTTTAAAAAGAAAATTATTCTAAAATATATGTATTCTGTATTTGACAAACAGTTCATTCGACAAATGAAAACTCACAGGAATATGTTTCAGCTATTAGAACAGAATGATAGAGTTTTTATAATACTAGTTTAAAAACGCACTT